TACAGTCGAGTCTCGACTAAAAGCTAACTCACTCGGAATCACACCGAGACGACACAGCCATACTGAGATTTACACTTCTCTTTGTAATTACATTATAGTGATACGAAATATATATATATTTAAATATTTATCTTGTTTGTATATTGGCAGATAGTTTAGATTCGTTTTCGCCCCTCTGGTTTTCATTGATACCGTTATTATTTTTTTTTTTATCCTTTGTGTTGCTATATAAATGCAATCATCTACATACCTTTCTTCATCTTTTTAATTTCGGCTTCCTGCTCATCCACAGCAGCTCCAAGCAATGTGAAAATGATGCCTGCCTGTGAGTTTACTCCAACGGCTGTTACAACCATTTTGCCACTCCCCTCCATGACATGGGTACCAGATAAAACCATCGGGTCGGTATCCGGGCCCTTTTTTACATGATCCGACTCACCAGTCAGTGAAGATTCGTCCACCTAAATTAGATGTATAAATATTTGGTATTTATGTAAAAAAAAGACAACGGGGTTTCTATTTATTAATACCTTTAGATCATTGCTCTGTATAAGACATCCATCAGCTGGTAAAAGATCGCCATATTTGACTTGTGCAATATCACCAACAAGGATATCTCCAACCGATATTTGGCATACCTCGCCACCTCGAATAACTGAAAATTTGTGCTCGCCCTCAATTCGGCTCTGGAGGCCTCGAAATTGTCGCTCCTTTGAATAATCATTAAAAGCAGTCACTATCACTACAACAATGACCGAAATTAGTATAGCCAGACCCTCTATCCAACCGTGATGTTCATCTTCTTCTTGGAGCAAAGCTGTAATTAAATGGAATATAGATGTATATATTTTAAGAATTTAATCCGTATATATTTTAGACTCACGGGCATCCTCATCTGCAGGTTTGTAAAATGACAGACCAAGTGATACTAACGCAGCTACCTCTAATATTATAAGTGTAACATCTTGAAGCGCCTCCCAGACTAGCGTTAAAAATGTTTTAGGGGGTTTCGGTGGTATTACGTTTGAGCCAAACGTTTCACGTCTGTGCTCCTCATCAGCTTTCGACCCACTAAGGCCTGGAAAGAAAGTTTTAGCGAAATATTAGTAAAAAGCTTTAATTTATTGTTATACCCCGAACTCATTGAAACTGGGAAATCAGGGTATAATGGTTTTTTAAATGTATGTAACAGGCAGAAGGAGGCGTGGTAGACTCTACAAAGTATGTAAGTATATTCTTGATCAGGGCGACGAGCTGAGACGATTTAGCTCTGTCCGTCTGTCCGTAAGCTTGAACGCGTCGATCTCAGAAGATACAAGAGCTAGAGACTGAGTTTAACCCCAAAAATTTATAACTCTTCCCGTTATTTTTTGTCGATTAAAAATATTATCGAATATAAGCTATTTAATTATATTTCCAACATCTTTAGAGATAGAGTCACCAAATATCAGTTTCTCGAAAGGTTCAGGGGATCTCGTACTCGAACAGTCTCGACTAGAGCTTTCTTACTTATTTAATTTGCATTTACCTTCATTTGGGGATGTGTACAACTTTTTGCATAACTCATGAACGCCACCGAGCTCACTGATTTTAGTTACACCTTCCCTTCCTCGATGCTCCATGAGTTCCCGTAATTGCTTAAGTGATATCCCATATTGCGCCGGTCTTCCATCGATTGTTGCCATTGGTTATAATATCTATGACAAAAATATTTTTTTTGTTGTGATTTTCTAGATTTTAAATTGGATGTTTGTGGATTTTTATTCTCTAAAGGAAATTAATCAGCAAATTAAAAATATGTGTGTATAGCTTTTTTAAAATTTTATAAAAGAATTTTGTATAGCCATTTATAAAATGGAAAGTTTGGTGTATTTGTGAACTGTCCGCCTTGCTATCCGTATTTCCATCTGTTTGTATAAACACAAACCATTTTTCCGCTACTTAAGCACATATGCTTTTGAATATCTACTCAGTCAAATTAAGATATTCCTTGGATCCCAACCAATTCACACTATAATTCGAAACATCACCACGTAGGAGGACACTAAAAGATTTGAAAATCGGTTTTTTTTCTTCTGCGGATTATACTCCAACTCTCTAAGACCCGACAAAGCCACATTAACTACAGTGCTTATCATAATTATAGCCCACCCTGCAACTTAAACTTTGAGCCCGTTGTAACAAAATTTTTAAGGTTTTTTAAAAATAAATTTTACAGCACATTATAGACTGGAGCATGTTCAGTAGATTTGATCAAAATTTTAGTTCAATTTATGGAAAACTAAGAAAGAACCGTTAACTTTTGCTCTGTGCTAGCATTTTTGCTTGCATTTTTGTGTATCATAATTATAGCCCACTGTCGCAAATTTGAATTTATTAAGTGCGGAACAGACTTTTGGCTTTACAGACATTGTAATTAAGTAAATTTAGATAGTTTTTAAGAGATGCCGCTTGGAAAACAATTATCTTATTATGAAAAGGGCCGTATTTTCTCACTTTTCGAGTCAGGAGAGTCTATTTCGAGTATTTTACGAATTTTGAAAAAAAGTCTAAGTGTAATTAAAATTTTTTTGGATAACCCCGAAGAATAAGGATCAAGAAGACGTACTGGGTGAAAGCCGTTACTAATTGCGCACGATAAACGCAAAATTATTAAGAAAGCCAGCAACAACCCAACCGCTTGTATAGCTTTGGCCGCACATGTGGCCGAATCTATGTCAGCGATGACTGTTTGGCGAGTACTTAAGAGCTCAGGAATCATAAATAGGTCTAAACTGANTTTTTTTTACAAAAATATGAATATGGGCTATAATTTTGATACAGAAAATGGTGCTGTTTTTCCTTGTTTTTTACTTCTTTTTAAGAAATCGTTATTAAATCGTGAATTTTAAGTGAAAAAGTTTTTTGCCATTCATAATTGAAATATTGAACTACTCATTTTTGAAGATTTTGAGGAAATATTCCATTTGGGAAAAATTTTCAGCCGATTCGTTTAAGTGGATTAAAAGTGGGCTATAATTATGATAAGCACTGTATTTAAAAGTTTTCAAAAGATGAACAAACATTTTACGTTACGTTTACATTTATGTCTTAGCAACATTCTGAAACTAAAGTTTACTTTAGAAAAAGGTCCTTTTTCTAAAATACTATATTATGTATACTATAATGTATGTATTGAGAGAGGGAGAAAGAGAGAGAGAGAGAGCGAGAGAGAGAGAGGAAGAGGGAATGCAGGAGGGAGAGAGAGCATCTGATGTAAGAGGAAGAACCAGTAAGAGAAAGAGAGAATAACAATTCCAAATTTCTATTATGAGTGGACATGTCTCCGCCTATATCTATTTGAATATAATTAGATTTTGTTGTTTAGGCTTTGTATGCGATACGCATACACACGAGCACATGCGCGCACACACTCACGTGCACGCGAAAATCCACGAGCAACTGTATAAATTCAGAATTTTTTATACACATTCGTACAGCATCCGTATTTTGAAAATAAAGCGAAATTGCGCCTGGGCAAAATGCAGAGCAAAGTAACGAAAAACAAGAACATAAGAACATTGCGGTCGGGCGTTTTCGACTGCAGAATACGCACACATAACACGCATTGGCTGCAGTGGTGGCTTACTATGGGAACTTAATTGTTTAATAACTTTTGCATATGTCTAGGGTGACCATCCGTCCTGGAATTCCGGAACATGTCCCGCTTTTGGAGGTAATGTTCCGGCATATCGACTTGACAGGAAATTGTCCCGGTTTTCAATTGTTTCGATAAAAAAGTCATTTTGACAAAATGCAAACTGGAAGAAGTTAGTGTAGAGACAAGTCAAGAATTTTGTTTAGAAAAACATTAAATATTGATGAAAGAAATGTTATGTAAATATGTTGGGAAAAATAGGCAGTGGGGATAATCATGAATATAATAACAATTAAATATAAGGATGTATTCATATATATGGATGCTCCTTTTGTGGAATTAGTCCCAAGATAATGTAATTATGCTAAATATCAAGAAAGTAAAAGTTGATTTATTTAAAATGCATTTTTTCAGAGAGAGAGAGAGAGAGAGAGGGAGAGAGAGGGAGAGAGAGAGAGGGTGAGAACTTTGTAAATATTTGTGTTTTGGGGGGGGGGGGGGTTAGTTCTTGACAGTCCCGGAATGCGCTCCGGCCCAGACGGTTATCCGACATATGTATATATGTAAATATGTATATATAGCATATTCTAAGAATCTCGTTGCGATTGATTTGTCTTTGCATTGTTTTTGAATTTCCTGTCGCTACAATGGCATTTCTTTGCTATGTGGCGTCATAACAATAATGTGATTTCGTTTTAACTACTGTTGATCGAAACGACGCGGTGGTGCTGTA